CACGTGGCGGGAAACTTTCCGGTCAACCTAATAGATGACTAAATGATTCACCTCACACAGATTCGTGCACCCTTTGCAAACTGAGCAAACATCTGTTAGCATGGAGAAAAACCACCTAAACTTAGGAGTCACGCCCTACCCCTGCGTAGAAGTGTAATGCACGGCGCACACTCGGACCAAATCGGTCGATGAAAACCAAATTATGCTTTGACTCAGTCCAACGGGAGTGTGTGTTTTGAAGGCATATGGAAGTTCGCGAATGAGTATCCTTACAATGGCACAGAGGGAGTCGAGCTTTTGAGTGGCTCAGAATGTCGCCCAAGGGTGACCCATCTAAAATATCTTCGAAACTAGCGAGTTTTCAGGAAAACTGTATAGCTTTTTGGAGAAATACTGAGCGTCTGACAGAGTTTTGCAAAAGACTGCGTTCGAAAGAAGTTATTCTCGTCTGAAGCATAAAAACCGCTCGCGATTTACCACTAACGCGTCCGTAACCCATCCGAAATATTTCACGAACGGGGGAAGATTCAGATTGCGAGTAGGTAGAAAACGCAACAGTAGAGACATTGCTTCGAACATGCCACCTTCCGTTTCTCAAAGCGCCATGGATGAAAAAAGCTATCAACCCCAGAAGAAGCCCCGCGATTTCCACCCGGCCAACAGATCTGCTCCACCGCTAATTTGCCATGGAATCATAACGCGGCCGTTTGCGAGTCATTACATATCTAATCCTTCTCGTCAGAGCAAACAATTAAAGTCGGAAAGGGAGGGGGTCGTACCAGGATCCTTTTCCGGGTGGAGGGGGAGGGGGTGGTCGTACTGACGCCACCATTTCACACATCACTGCTGTACCTTGGTTGGAAGAATAACGTGAATCACATCCCAGAATTATTCAGCCAGACCCGTCGGCAGGGGGCAGCATCGTTGTGTGAAACACATGGGGGGAGGGAGGGGTCGTACTTTTTCTCTGGGGAGGGAGTCGTATTTGGTCGTTGGGAGAGAGGGGTCGTATGTGCCTTTGCGCACTGGTTTCCCGATTGTCGACTTTTTACGTGATTTTTCCTGTCTC